AAACAGATGTTCATAATATTACATTTAAATGGGGTCGGAACGCTACTCCATCCGATAATGGAGAAAACGAAACACAGGAAACTGTTAAACAAATGATGAAAAATTAGTATTTAAAATTATTTCTATTATTATTTATAATGCAAGATGTTATAAATAATATTCTTAAATTCATTGATGTAAAAGAATTGAAATTAAATAATTTTATTGAAGAATATAACGAAAATGATATATTAATTAATTTTGTTAATGACTTTAGAAATAGTAAAATTGATTTTAACATGTTTTATAATTCTATTAATTATGCTGATTTATTTGAACAATCAGATTTAAAATTTTATTGTAAAAGAATATATTCATATACTTTAAGATTTATTGCTAATTATGATAATAAAAATGCTATTCAGTTTTATGAAATTACATTGAGAAAAATGAATAATATTTACAAAAATAGTAACATTAATGTTGTTAATGTGTTTGAATGTATTAAATGTTTAATAATTTATATTACAGATAATATTGAAAAGTTTCATAAATATTCAAAATTTAGAAAAACTATTATTTGTAATTTAATTGGTAAATTGAATAATAATTTAACGAGTTACACAATAACTAATTTTGAATTGACTTATAATGATATATGATTTTGTAAAATAAAAGTTTAGTTTTAAAAGTTTTATTTTATAATATAATATATATATTTACATGGATGAAGGATTAGAAAAGATTGTTAAAAAACTGAACAAGGTTTTAGAACAGAATAAGAATATTTTAGAAATCTTGCAAGAAATGGAAAAGAAGAAACCTTTAACAAACAGTTATCAAAGTAAAGAAGTAGATAGAACCAATGGTGAATATAAAAATAAAAGAAATATTTATTTAAACAAACTTAATAACAAAGAAATTAAAGAACCGAAGGCTTCAACTATGACATTTTATCAAATTGACTATGATGAAGATACGGGGGTTTATTCATAGATAATAATCCAACGACAAAACAGCATGTTTTTCTTGAAATTAGGTGGGGTTCCCCCTTTTTTGGGGCGATAGTTTATTTATATTATGTTATTATAATATAAATTAACATTGTAAAACTTTATAACCTTTCATTATACCATAGTTATACTCTATAAAACTTGTTTTTGTGTTTCTTTTTTAATGAATGAACATAACCTTGCCCATAATATTTCTACAAAATTTGTGATAAAAATATTGTAAGATAATTTATCATAATTTTTGGAATAATATTTTTGAAAATTTATTGTTTGATTTTTTTTCTGAAAATATCATTTTTGGAAAATATCATTTTTGGAAAATAGCATTTTTGGAAAATATCATTTTTTTTGAAGATATTTTTTTTTGAACAATATTATTTTTTGAACAATATTATTTGTTTGAACAATATTTTTTTTTTATGAATGAGCTTAACCTTGCCCATGCATCCTACCATCAATAACCATATCATATGAATCACCCTGTACTCCTATTTCCACTCAAGCATCCTAACAATGACAAGAATGATGGAATAGAAAATGAGAAAATGTAACTTTTTTGATGGATTTTGAGGTTGAGACTGTTATGAAATGTTTTGAGTGGAAATATGCATAATGAATAAGGATGACGATTTGAATAGTGAAAAAATGGTTGAAAAATGCCGATGTTGCGTAGGGTGGGGGTCACGCTCGGGTACCACAAAAAGATGGGCAAGGCCTACCCTAACTAAAACACCCCCCAAAACACCCCCAACACCCCCCAAAAAACACCCAAAACACCCCCAAAACACCCCCAAAACCCCCCCAAAACACCCCCAAAACACCCCCAAAACCCCCCCAAAACACCCCCAAAACACCCCCAAAACACCCCCAAAACACCCCCAAAACACCCCCAAAACACCCCCCAAAACACACCCAAAACACCCCAAAACACACCCAAAACACCCGCAAAAAACCCCCCCAAAAACCCCCCAACAAACCCCAAAAAAAAACACAAAAAAACACCAAAAAACCACACAAAAAAACAAAACAAAAAACAAAAAAAACCACCGAAAAAAAACCCAAAAAAAAACCCAAAAAAACCCCAAAAACCCCAAAAAAAAACAAAAAAAAAACAAAAAAAAACCCAAAAAAACCACAAAAAAAAACAAAAAAACCAAAAAAAAAAAACGAAAACACCCCCAAAACAACACCCCCACAAAACCCCCACAAAACCCCCACAAAACCCCCCAAACCCCCAAAACCCCCACAAAAACCCCACAAACCCCCACAAAACCCCACAAAACCCCCACAAAACCCCCACAAAACCCCCACAAAACCCCCACCCCCCACAAAACCCCCACAAAACCCCCACAAAACCCCCACAAAACCCCCACAAAACCCCCCACAAAACCCCCAAACAAAACCCCACAAAACTCCCACAAACTCCAAAAAAACCCCGAACCCCCGAACCCCCCCCCGAACCCCCCGAACCCCCCCGAACCCCCCGAACCCCCCCGAACCCCCCCCCCCCCCTCCCCGAACCCCCCCCCGAACCCCCCCCCCCCCCCGAACCCCCCCCGAACCCCCCCCCGAACCCCCCCCCCCCCCCCCCCCGAACCCCCGAACCCCCCCGAACCCCCCCCCCCCCCCCGAACCCCCCCCGAACCCCCCCGAACCCCCCCGAACCCCCCCCCCCCCGAACCCCCCGAACCCCCCCCCGAACCCCCCCGAACCCCCCGAACCCCCCCGAACCCCCCCCGAACCCCCCCCCGAACCCCCCCCCCCCCCCCCCCGAACCCCCCCGAACCCCCCCCGAACCCCCCGAACCCCCCCCCCGAACCCCCCCCGAACCCCCCCCGAACCCCCCCCCCCCCCCCCCCGAACCCCCCCCCGAACCCCCCCCGAACCCCCCCCGAACCCCCCCCCGAACCCCCCCCCGAACCCCCCCCGAACCCCCCCCCGAACCCCCGAACCCCCCCCCCCCCGAACCCCCCCCGAACCCCCCCCGAACCCCCCCCCCCCCCGGAACCCCCCCCGAACGAACCCCCCCCCCCGAACCCCCCCGAACCCCCCCCCGAACCCCCCCCGAACCCCCCCCCGAACCCCCCCCCCCCGAACCCCCCCCCCGAACCCCCCCCCCCCCCCGAACCCCCCCCGAACCCCCCCCCCCCCCCCCCCCCGAACCCCCCCGAACCCCCCCCGAAAACCCCCCCCCCCCCCCGAACCCCCGAACCCGAACCCCCCCGAACCCCCCCCGAACCCCCCCCCCCCCCCCCCCCGAAACCCCCCCCCGAAACCCCCCCCCCGAAACCCCCCCGAAACCCCCCGAAACCCCCCCCGAACCCCCCCCCCGAACCCCCCCCGAACCCCCCCGAACCCCCCCCGAACCCCCCCGAACCCCCCCAACCCCCCCCCCCCCCGAAAACCCCCCCCGAAACCCCCGAAACCCCCCCCGAACCCCCCCCCGAAACCCCCAACCCCCCCCCCCCAAACCCCCCCGAAACCCCCCCCCCCCCGAAACCCCCCCGAACCCCCCCCCGAACCCCCCGAACCCCCCGAACCCCCCCCCCCCCCGAACCCCCCCCCCCCCGAACCCCCCGAACCCCCCCGAACCCCCCGAACCCCCCGAACCCGAACCCCCGAACCCCCCCGAACCCGAACCAACCCCGAACCCGAACCCCCGGAACCCGAACCCCGCCCCGAACCCCCCGAACCCCCCGAACCCCCCCGAACCCCCCCCCCCGAACCCCCCGAACCCCCCCGAACCCCCCCGAACCCCCCCGAACCCCCCGAACCCCCCGAACCCCCCGAACCCCCCCGAACCCCCGAACCCCCCCGAACCCCCCCGAACCCCCCCGAACCCCCCCGAACCCCCCCGAACCCCCCCAAACCCCCCCAAACCCCCCCAAACCCCCCAAACCCCCCCCCCCCCCCCCAAACCCCCCCAAACCCCCCCAAACCCCCCCAAACCCCCCCAAACCCCCCCAAACCCCCCCCAAACCCCCAAACCCCCCCAACCCCCCCAAACCCCCCCAAACCCCCCCAAACCCCCCCAAACCCCCCAAACCCCCCCAAACCCCCCCAAACCCCCCCAAACCCCCCCAACCCCCCCAACCCCCCCAACCCCCCAACCCCCCAACCCCCCAACCCCCCCAACTCCCCCAACTCCCCCAACTCCCCCAACTCCCCCAACTCCCCCAACTCCCCCAACTCCCCCACCCCAACTCCCCCAACTCCCCAACCCCAACTCCCCCAACTCCCCCAACTCCCCCAACTCCCCCAACTCCCCCAACTCCCCCAACCCCCCAACTCCCCAACCCCCAACTCCCCCAACTCCCCCAACTCCCCCAACTCCCCAACAACTCCCCCAACTCCCCCAACTCCCCCAACTCCCCCGAACTCCCCCGAACCCCCCGAACCCCCCGAACCCCCCAACCCCCCAAACCCCCCAAACCCCCCAAACCCCCCAACCCCCCCCCCAACCCCCCAACCCCCCAACCCCCCCAACCCCCCCAACCCCCCCAACCCCCAACCCCCCAACCCCCCAACCCCCCAACCCCCCAACCCCAACCCCCCAACCCCCAACCCCCCAACCCCCCAACCCCCCAACCCCCAACCCCCAACCCCCCAACCCCCCAACCCCAACCCCCCAACCCCCAACCCCAACCCCCAACCCCCCAACCCCCAACCCCCCAACCCCCCAACCCCCAAACCCCCAAACCCCCAAACCCCCAAACCCCCAAACCCCCAAACCCCCAAACCCCCAAACCCCCCAAACCCCCAAACCCCAAACCCCAAACCCCCAAACCCCCAAACCCCAAACCCCCAAACCCCCAAACCCCCAAACCCCCAAACCCCCAAACCCCAAACCCCAAACCCCCAAACCCCAAACCCCCAAACCCCCAAACCCCCAAACCCCCAAACCCCCAAACCCCGAAACCCCCCAACCCCCAAACCCCGAAACCCCCCAACCCCCGAACCCCCCAACCCCCGAACACCCCCTCCCCCCCTCCCCCCCGCGCTTCTCGCCTCGGCCGAGAACTCTCTGACTTGCGTCTTTGCCAGCGCCAGCGCCGCGTAGGCGAAGTCCAGCACCGCTGGAGGCAACTTCGTGAAGATCTTGGCCAGAGACCACAGGCTCAAGGAGACCTGGCCACGCGCAGAAGGGGGGGGAGAAGGGGGAAAGGAGCCTTGGGGCTTGGTCTCGGTGGGGTGTGCTCCCCTTTTCAGAGCAGAAAGCTATCCAGGTGTGGTCAGACACGATTCAAAGAAACACCACTACTAGGCATCCCCCATTTTGACAAAAATGCCATGGTGGTGGAGCCGTGTATCTGGAGGGTGTGTTTGGCGTGCGAACCCGGCCACCAAAATGGGACCTGGACCAAACTACGAATGTCTCTCAAAAACAAAAACTGGGAACCTTGGGCAGTTTGTGGGCCCCTGAACCTCATGTCCTAGACAAACTGGAAGGGAACCGAATGAGACACGTTCACAAGGTTGCCGTGTCAAAAGGGCCGTCATATAGGTGGCGTTGCCAGTGCGGCCAATGGAAAGCTTCCTGTTTGCTTTGCCAGACTTGGACCTGAAGAAGCTCTCCGAGCGAACGAAAGCCTCGATTCTTGAACGCCACCGAAATCCATTGACTATTGATAATACCGACATGAATAGACAGTTTGGATGGGCGTTCACTTCCATCTCCGCTCACGGGAGTAACACTTACCAAAGCGGCCAGGCCAAGGTTGCGTTAGTACCAGAACCGCGACGATTGGTAGAGGGAACGCCTCTGTTGTGGCAAGGGGCCATGAGACAATGGGGGCGGATCCGGATGTTCAGGAAACGGTCTACAAGCAGCGGTGGCAGCAGCAGTGGCAGCAGCAGTGGCAGCAGCAGTGGCAGCAGCAGTCCAAAACGACTGTTTTCTTTCACCTTACAAAAACAGAGAGAGAGAGAGAGAAAGCCTTCTGCAAAACTAATTCCCTTTCTCAAAAACAAGAAGGGCAAAAAAGAGAAAACAACATGGTTGGACCCATCAATTCCACAACCAATGATTCTCGGGCAAAAAATCCAACCACCAGCTGCCAGAACGACCTTTCAGAGCACAGAGCTTGCACCAAGCGGACCAAGCATCTATGCTGGTTGTCCGCAAGGGAATACATGGGTGGGAACCTCTGTTGGTTGCTTTCAGTTCGGAGGGAAACCCAACGGGAAAACCGCAAAAAAAAATGTGGTGTCCCTAAGTTTAAAACCAACCCACATCTTTGGAGTGAACCTGTGCAAGTGTCCAAGAAACCATTCATCAAGCCCAGCCAAGGCGGCCTGTTTCGTGCAATCCCTCCAAATGCCAAGGAATTGCTTTGTCTACTGGGGCCCTGGGCACATCCAAAAGCATGCGTGGCTTCCTATGTGTCTTCCCTTTCCAAAACAAAAGGAGCGCAGTGCGGAAGTCCTACTGCTCGCTCCACTCTCCGCATAAAAAAAAAAAAAAAAAAAAAAAAAAAAAAAACTGAGTAATTCCCAAAGAAAAAAATGACGCCGTTTCGCCTTTTCGCAACCAAACCCCAACCAAAGACCGTTGCCGTTCCCGCGGCTCCGCCACCTGTTCGCCACTCAAGACCTGCAATACCCCCAGGAATTTCTGCCCAAACCTGGAACAGAGGGGGGGCTAAGGGTTCTCTGGTTGCAGTCGGGAAAGCCAGTCCATTCCCACTCTGGGTGAGCAGCAAGAATCTGACGGCTTTCAACCCGAAAAATCCGGAATCACCACAAAAACACTTGCCTTTCGTTCCACCACCAAAAGGCACCCGACTCCCCCCCCCCAACCACCCCACCTAACCCAGGGCTCCCTATATGTCCGACTAATACCAGCCTGATCCCGCAAACTCGCCCAGAAGCCAAACACGAGTGATGTAAACATACCAAAAGGCCTCTCACCCCAACCCCCACCTCCCACCCCCCGCCCACCCCCCCAACCCCCCCCCCCCCAGCCAGACTCTCCTCAGGCCTCCGAGGCATCAAAGCTGTGGATCCGCGGCCGAAAGACCTCCGCCGCGTTCCTGGCGAAGTCCGCCGCGCCCTGGCGAGGTCCGCGCCCCAACATCGACCGCGGGAGACGGTCCAGGGCGGATTTTTGTCTGCAGGGAAGACATGATTGGCGCGCCGCGGTGGTTTTTGTTTTGAGGGCACCCCCTGTTTGTGGCTTGAAAGGGAAGCCGGAAGGAAAACGCACATTTCGAGGGGTCACCTAAAAACAGCCACGCCCAAATCGGGTTCAGGTATGCAAGGGACATGGTGACATTGATGTGTCCTTTTCAGCCGCCCCTCCACCCCCCCTCCTTTTTTTCTCCCGGAGAAACAAAAAGAAAAAGCGGCAATTTTGGGGGTGCCTCGAGTCAAGACAAACCTATGTGGCCTTTGCTTGTCAAATGTGTGCTTCTGTTGTAAAAGTGAAACTCCACAGCCAAATGGGGAAAAATACCTGGATACGTCCGGGCACAAGCTCATACATTGTTGGGCCCGCGCCCTTTCTTGAAGCTAGTTTTTCAGGAAGTGTCGGAAGAAGGTTCTGCCCCTCCTGTCTAACTTGAAACCCACCAGAGGGTCCCTTGGAAACGTCAGGTTCCATGTTAAGGAGGCGCTCAAGGCACAAGTTGAACTTCCCTCTTTGGGGATTTGGCCTCAGAAGGTTCTGGCCCAAAGTGACCGGGTCATTTTTGATCAGACATGTCCTCTTGGCTTGCTTTCTCTCAGCCCTTGATTCGCGAGCCCCATGGATACAGGGGCGGAGGTGTACTTTTCCTGAGCTGAGGCCATTTCACGCACGCGTGGATGGTTGCCAGGGTGTCCAGATCCAAACGCAACCCTGAGGGACAACTGAGAATGGGCATATGGTTGTTCACTCTTGCCATAGCCGGTCTTTCGAGGACATGCCTTGTGTGGACCCTGGCAGCACAGGGAAAGAATGGGTCGAATCCACAGATTGAGTATCCCAACCTGTTTTGAAAAAGCCCCGACAAAGAGCAGATCATAAACAATAAAAGATGACACAACCAAGCCGTTTTTCCATCAAGCGCGTTTCGCGATTCGGATCCATGCGTGTGTTTCTTTGTGCATGGAATCAAGCCTCCCACTTCCTCTCGCCTTGACCCCCCAGACCCAAAGCCCCTCGTGCCATCTTCTCAGCCCGTGGACACAAAGGCCACCAGGCCCCTCCCTTTTTCCCCCCCGGGCCATGGAGACTTAGAGTCTATTTGGGCCATGTCCTCAACCAAGTTGGTCCATACTGTCCCAAAATGGCGTATTTTGGGAATGTTTAAAATGAATCATGAAAACAAGTGCACTTTTCAGATTCTAAGTTTTAGACCTCGCTTAGCATATTTAACCATACCAATGGATCAAAAAGCATTGAATAATCAAGGTTAGCCTGTCTGTATCAGCTACATAGCTTAAATCAACAAACTCCACCATTTTGGGAATGGTACTTAAAACAAAATACAATTTCACTTTTGTGTCCATCATCCCCCCCCCCTTCCCCCAAACGGCCCACACCCCACCCAAAGCCCCCCCCGAAGTTTTGCGCCATCCCCCCCATCCCCCCCATGCCCCCCATCCCCCCCATCCCCATCCCCCCGCCTCCGGGCACCGGGTGGCCGCCCAGAGCGCCTTCGCCAGCGCCGGGGGCCACAGCTGCCGCAGCACCCGGCGCCGCTGCAGCCGCGCCGCGCAGCGCGCCGCCAGCCGCGCCCAGCGCCGGCGGCAGCAGCGCGCAGCTGTGGAAACCTCCGCGGCGCGCGGCGCTCGGCGCTCGGCGCTCGGCGCTCGGCTTCGCTCGCGGCCGACGGAAAGGGGATCCACGGAAACATGGCCCGGTGGCCTGCTTGGTGTCCCAGAATATCAACTAAGAGGTCCATTTTGAGAAACTGCCGTGTGGGTGGGGAAGGCTTGGAGAAACATCCATGCATATGGTGTGTCTTTTTTAGGGGAACACCCCCCTAAGAAAATGGGCTGGTGTCTCTTTTGGTCCCCGCTTGAAACCACAAAAGGGGGGGTAGCCTCCAAAAACGACACCTATGCAGAAACATCATGAGTGTTTGATCTGCTAACTGTTTCAATGTCCATTTGTTCTAATCTAACTGCACTTGTTGTTCCATCTGCATTATTGGGTGCGAGGATGACTGAACTAGAAAACATGGAAACTGGACAAGCTAACAGCAAATGAAACATCCATATTGGGGCATGCTTGGTTGATTTGTGTACCCCTGGCATATGCAAACAAACGCAGCAACACATCTCCACGTTTCACGCGCAGCCAACAAAACACACGTGCACGCAAACTATATAGCCTTGGGTTTGGGAGGAATCAAATAACACTTGTGCCCCCCCCCCCCCCGCCCTTTTCCCACAAAGAATGGCGATTCGAACCTGAAGGGGGGTGGGGGAGCGCGGGGGCAGAAAGGTCGGATACATCAAGATTTTAATGGGGGGGGGGTGTCCTCCCCCCCCCGCCCCTCGCGACCCTCAAGTTGCTTGAAAATCAAGGCCTTCGGCCTTGCGTGATAACCTATTTCTTCCCGGCGGAGCTGAGGTAGACACAGACTTCGACAGAGGAAATCTTGGCATCCGTGCAGCATGCAAGCCCGGGCGCAAGACGCGACGTGCTGCGGCTGCAGCTGCGGCATCCGCGCAAGGGCGCATGACAACAACTCCTGAGGCCCAGAATCGAGGAAATGCCACGAAGATGGTCTACCGCAGTTTTTCATGTGAATCCCTTTGTTGGGAAAATGAAAGGTAGGGCCCCTCAAAAAACAGCAGGGGGCATCAGGGGCAGCATCTTCGCTCTCTTGTCACACCTACAGCAACAGCAACAAAGAAAACAAAAAACAAGAACAGGAAGAACGAGAAAAGAAGAACAACAGCACCAGAAACTAGGGAGTAAAAAGACGGATGGCCATTCAGGGACAGCGGTCCCGGAATATCAGTGTCACCAGTGCTGGTAGACCTGTCGGAGGTTCAAGCCCGGTAGTAGCAGCAGCTGTCTGCGCTTGCTTTTGTGGGCGTATTTCTGGCTACATTTAGATTTGCGACGTGCTCTGCGCTACGTCTGCTTGAGCGTTGCATGGATTAAATTTCGATGGATAAATTAGCTTTGTTAGCTAGTGAGTCGGTGAGTTGGTAAGTTGGCAAGTTGGTAAGTCAGCTAGCCCAAATACTTAAATAGATAGATGGATAGGTAGGTAGATAGATAGATCAGGCTGGACTACATTAGGTTAGATTGGACTAGTGTAGACTACATTAGACTGACAAATAGCTTGGATACTCAGATACTTATCCAGCCAGCCAGCCAGCCAGCCAGCCAGCCAGCCAGCCAGTCAGTCAGTCAGTCAGTCAGTCAGTCAGTGAGTCAGTCAGCTAGTTATTGCTAGCTACGTAGGTAGATAGATAGATAGGTTTAAACCTGCAGAAAGATATGTTCTTATAGATGTATATTTAGTCCATATCATGCATCCCATGTGCTGTTGTTATTGATGTACTTGTTGATTTGGTAAGCTGTTCATTCATTTATTAATTTACTGATTGCTGTATTTATTCATTGAAGTGTCAATGTTCAACTGTGCATGCAATTAGTTGCTAATGTGTTGATTTACTTGAGTCATTTATTCATTTACGTACTGTTGTATCTATTAACTTACTTGCTTGATTCACTTGTTTCATTCATTTGTGCATTTAGATTGTTTATTGATTGATTTACCCATTTGTTTGTGTTTTTCCTTATCTAGCTACTCAGCTACTTGTTGTTGAGTGAGTGATTGTTTTACGCACGTGTTTTCCTATTCGACTTAGTTCTGCATTTATGTAAGTGTGTGTGTGTACGTACGTACGTACGTCGATCGATCGATCGATCGATCTATTTACTTGTGTGTTGATGTATGTATTTGATATTTATGTATTTGATATTTATGTATTTTGTATGTTTGTTTGTCCTTTTCCCTTGGCTCGTGCATTTGTGTAGTTGTTCATTCATTTGTTTGTGTACTTATCTATCTATTCTGTTTTATTATTTGTTTATCTACATATTAGGTCTGCCCGCAGATTCCCCCCCCCCCCCAAGCCCCCAAGCTCGCTTTGGACCCCGCGCCCTGCTATGGGGACCCTCCCTTTACAAGCCCCCAGGACAAGCCAACCAGGCCCCAAGCCTAAGCCGACCCTAAACACACCCTTAACACCCCCTAATTCCTAATCCAAGCCCAAACTTCACAGATCCATGGCTCCTCCGCAATCTGCAGCGCCATAGCTGAGCCTCGCGGCGGTACTGTGGCCCCAGTGTCTTGTCTGCTCAGTGCAAAAAAACATTGACGAGGAACGTAGAACTCATGTGTAATAATCAGAACACCACACCCTGTGCTGTCATTGCAATCCGGAGCCTCTAGAACGTGTAGGCCAGAACGCCGACCGGCAACCGGCAACCCAAAGTGGACTCCGCTAAGGCTAGCCATTGGCCCATCTTTTCTCGCTCACCAGGACTCGCGAGGGATGATTACCTTGGTGCCTTCAGTCTATGACAAGCAGCCGCATGCCTTCGCAAAAACTCAGGGGTTGTTGGTTCTACCAACATAATGTGAAGGTTTGTATGGTCCCTGCCATAATCCCAGGAAGCAGAACTCCTTGCGAAATTGGCCAACAGGGGTTGTGGCTACCGCCCAATTAGCCCGAGGTAGGCGTAGAACCCCTGGGTGGGTTGTTTCCCCGAAATAGATGTCTTGTAGTAAGTCCAGCTTTTGATCTTGACCCGTTTCCACTTAGCCCACAAAAAGTTAAACTTTTAGCGGGGGATCTGAGGGCAGCCCAGTTTAGTGGTAAACAAAAAGTTTGGGCACTTGTTTTAGCCCATCCGATCATCCGCTCGATTGGAAATGGGCTAGATTGTGCCAAGCCTTGCGGCTTTGAACATCGCAGGACGCCTTTGTGCAGCTGCTGGTCTCCATTTGCTGGGCACAGCGGCACAGCTGATTCCCACCCCGATGCAAAAACTAACATCAACAAACAATTGCCCTAAATGGTTGTGGGGCAAGCTTGCACGCACCAGCACATGCTTCTGACCTAAGAATGCAGCAACACTCCGATGGGAGATTCATGTCTACGCCTCAGAAGGCCCTAGCACTACAGCAACACATCAAAGGTCAACTGACAGCGCAAGGCTGAACCAATACCAACGACCCATACCCAAGAGAGTCTCCAATCTCAAGGTCCCCCGAACGCTCTTCCATGCTGTTGAAAAGACTTGGGGTGTATCCTCCCAAAAGCGGACAGGGCACTCGAACGGGGCCTGAAGATCATTTTCCTCCAACAGGGACCGTCTCTCAGGTTCCATGGCAGTTTCTGGAAGGTTGTCTTTTCAGTTCACTCCATCGCTGTCGGGTGGAGGGAGATGGGGGGTGGGGGGGGGGGAAATCAACCATCAAAATTAACCAGGACATTTGCTAGGCAACATGTGAAGAATCGGCTGTCATATGAAACAAATGCAAGCTAAATCTCTGATCGCATCGTTCATGTGGACCCGCGGGCTCGTTGTCGCCACAGAATCGTGGCTGGATGCAACCCTGTTGAAATACCAAAGAGGGCCATCCCCATCTGCGATGTTTTTGCCACATGTCCAAGACCTGAAATATTGGGCCCCAAGTTCAGGACCTACGTCATAATCATCATAATGAGCGAGCTCGCCACAAATTAGTAGATCCCGATCTGTTTTGTCGCTTCCTCGGGGCTTCTCTTGGTAGCACAGAGAATATTTGGATCCATTGCGGAACACGCAGAGTCAAGAGTGATCAACAAAGGAGACCGGAAATACGCCTGATTTGTCGGGTACTCGTTTGGTGTTGACAGGAACAAAAGAGAGCCAACCTCTTTTCAAGGCGTTTTTGGTATTTGGAGATGGACCCATATTTTGGTATTTGGAGATGGACCCTCCTCGACATCTAAGTGTTGATTGGTGCCTCCGAACGGGTTGATCAAGCCGAACTGCAGATGGAATCGCCACCATGTGTTTCTTTGATGTCCCTTTCGGAGTCCCTTTCGTCTCCATTTGGAAAACTCGTCACAAAAGGCTCTGCCCCCCCCCCCCCCCCCAACCACACAAGTGAGGGCTCTTCCGTGCAGCCCCCCCCACTTGCAAGGCGCAGGCCCCGGAGCTCACAGAGCTCACCGCCCACAGGCTGCTCGCCAGATCGTTGTTGGAGCATCCTTGGTTCCCCGTGCCCGGAGGCACCCCCGATTCTTCTTTTGGTGGAGGGAAACAAAAGGAAAACCCATCATTTTGGGGGTCCCCTGAAAAAAAGACCCAACCATGGAGGTGGGTTCTGGCTTTCTTTCAGGAAAGTAGTCTTCAAAAAGCCTCCCGTCAGCTTCCATGATTGTTGGAGGGAGGGTATTTTGCACCCCACAAATCCGGTTGGTTTCAAGGGAAACCAACGAAGCAAACGAAAACCATTTTGAAAACACTACCATTCTTTGACACATACCATACCCATCATACTAATATGCACAACCTGCAAACATCACCCATAGCAAGGGAACCTCACTGGAGGGTGTTAAACAGGTGACGAGCCGTGTGGGTTGTCTCCAATCTTTGACATATCTGAGTCTGTCCACAAACAGGGAACAGCTTGTTGGATAGGTTCAAAGGGAAACCAGAAGAGCACTAGCTAGCCTGTTTCCTTCATTGTGAGTCGCCGTTTCAAATCCTTCCCCGTGGTCACTTCCTCACTTGCGGGAATCACAAATCCCAGAACTTCCATAGCCACCCGGAGCAAAATGGCGGTGTCAACTAGCACCACCTTCAAAAGTTACTTTGCAAATGTCTCGAAAAGGCTGACTCTTAGAGACTGCGATGTGTTCATGTGGCTGGGTGGGTCAAAAATCGGTACCCAAAATGGGACCCTGGTAAATGGAACCAAAGACTAAAGCATGCGGCCCGATTCCTGGTTTTATTTTGACTCATACCCATGTCCCCATGCAACAAGCACACAGGTCTGTCCCAAGCCCCGCAGACTTGCAGCGTGGTGAGTCCCCCCCGCCCTCCACCCCCCCCTTCCTTCGTTTCTTCGGCCAGGGGGCGGGACAAACTGCCAAGGCAAGCCTGGAACTTCCAGAGTACCCGGGTCAGCTCGGGCTCGGAATCCTGCTTGGCAGCGAGGCACAGGATGGGCACCAGATCTCCTGAGCAGAGAAGTCCATCTGTTAAAAATATGATATAATTTACTTTCATCATGGATGTGAATTTTAGTAAGGGACCCTGCGGTGGACACCATCTGCGTGGGGATTTGTGTCCACCAACCACTTTGGATGTGGTTCCTTATCAAAATTCATGGCCATATCTAAATGCAACAGGCAGTGCTTCATGGTTCCTAGAGAATGGCGCTTTGAATTCATCCCGTTGTGGCACGTTGAAGGGCAGCCCCAGGTTCCTTTTCTGAACCCTGCGCCCGCTGTGATTTCCTGAGCACGGACAAGGCGCTTTGGATCGTTTCAAAGCTTGCGTAGCTGCCGCCCACGGAAGCTACGCTTGGCCGGAGAAGAGCGCCTGTTACGGCCAACAGTCACAGTCTGAATTTAAACGAACCCTGGGATAGCTGTGTGACAAAAACGTTCTGTGATCCAACTACAAGCACGCAACTGCTCGTGCATCCAGCCGGCAAGAAGTAGTAGGCGCAGGATCGGCAGTGATGCGTCAGTATGATTCGACCTGGCAACGAACCTATCTGTAAAGATTGAATTGCCTTGCAGCCGTCGCACCCAGGATTCATTCGCACACGCTCAGAATTCCAGCCATGACCCGTGGATATGTACTTCATGCAAGCCCCGAACAAAAGTAAATGTTTTCGTTCCCCTGCTTCTTGTGAGGAACAAAAAAAGGCCCCTGCCAGCGGCTCCGAGCCCGAGCTGCCAAGCCACGAATTCCAAGCCCTCTCACCTGGCCGATTCTGCGATTCTGGGCCCCTTGCAATCATGTTGACTGTTGAGGGGTCCTTGAATCAACCGCACACACACACACAATTCACACACAAAAAATATAAAAATAACCCAAGCGAAGTCAACATCGCAAGCCTATGGCTTTCCGAGTACAAGAGCAGTGACAAAGGCTCACCTGTGCAATGGTCATGGGCATTGGTCACGATGAACTATATCTGAATGTTTCCCTATACGGTAGGCAACCATCCTTAGCCACCATGACCCGGGCGTTGAAGCATGGGAGACGAACTTCCCTTCACCCGGACACCCTGAAGCTTGCGTGACAAAAGGCGCATTGGCTCTCGCCACCGGCAAGGGACGTACTGTATGTGTAGCTGTAGCTAGAAGCCCAGTGGAGCATGGCAAACCATGGCAACTCGTGGCCTGTGTGTACAGCGTCCATGGATGTGGGCTAGGCTGAGCTACGAACGTTGCCAGTCCTACCCATGTGATCCTGTACATCAATAACTGGACAGCTACCTATCGCGTCGCTTGAAGCAGTGCTTTTGTCCAAACTAGACTGGAGCCAAGGCCTTGTTTCCGGACCGGAGCTTCCGCTCTGAGCGGGCCAACATCTGGCCCCCGTGCCGCAAGGACTTGGGTGCCCGGCCTGACTGCTGCCGGAGTCAGAGCCAGTACAAGGGGCATCGCCTTGGTCTTTGACCCCTCCAACATGTGAAATTGTTCATATTGTCAAAAGGCCTAAAAGCCTTTCAAGGTTTGGGTAAAAGTTGTGGTAAGGCGTTCAAACGAATAAAAGGTAAGCGGACCATTGCCTCCTGCGGCTTAAAGTTTTAAGGTCTGAAGAGCCACCAAGGAACTGTCCTTCTCTTCACTCAGGGCGTCTTGGCTCTTGCCATCCGCCGCTGTAGTTTCACTCCTGGCCCGAAGATGACAGCCACACTTGACTTGCATAAACACGTTGAAATACCTTCTGATTGAAGAACCCAACAGCCCGACATGCTGTGTGTGGATTGGAGGCTGTGAGGGCCTGGTGGTTTGACCTGAGTCAGCCTTCGCCGAGTCTTCACTTCCAGCACATTTGCTTGACAAGCTTTCAGGAACGCGAGTTGGAGTTGTTCCCTTGGGACACACCGGCCCCTCCCCCCCTGCAGGTGGACAACGTGTGACATGCGCAACATTGAGCCCGCAACCACACATGTACCCCTAATAGTGAGGAAACACTGTAGTAGCATTAGGCAATCCTACTTTAGACGTGGGCAAAATGACTTTAGACTTTTTGGACTTCAGTTTCCATGATTTAGCATTGCTGGAACTTCCCGTTTCATACATCCGGTTCGCCTTCCCCACCCCCCCAGGTCTGGCCAGAGATGCAAGGCTTTGTCAAATTGCATTCTTGCGCCTCAGCTAAGGGTTGTTTGTGCTCGCCTAGATATTCAGTGGGGGACAGCACGAAGCTCATACAGGCAAGACCTGCACAAGCGGACTCTCATAATTTCATCATATTCGCCAAGCAGCCCAATAACACCAACACTGCAACACGGATCCGCAAAGCGCAGATAAGCGCTAGCTAAGTGCTGCAGCTGATCTTCCCAACACAAGGGGTGTCGGCCAACAGAACGATTGCCACCAGCACACCGAGCGGAAGGTGGGCGAGTTGGATCCAAGAGGTTAACCGGGGATTACCACACAACTTCCTTTTGTTGAAGCTTGAGGTTGGTTCCTCTCAATGAAGGGGGTCTTAGCCGGCACGGTAGGCTGACAGCACCAAAGCACTTACACAAAATGGTGTGTGTGTGTGTGCGCGCATGTTTGCAGAGCGCCCTTTTTCAGGCTGGTTCAAAGGGAAGGGACGGGGAAAACCACCATCGAGGTCCCCCAATTGACCCAGACCCATTGATCCCAAAACGCGAGGAATCCGAAAAACGTCGACCGATCCGCCGCTCCTTCCGCTCTCCACCTGCTTCAGGCTCTTGCCTAGGTCGCGCAAGGGTTCTCGAGCAGGATCACGTCCAAACCACAGATCCTCGGAGAGAGGGGTCTGGAGCCTTTCAGCACGCAGAAAAGACCGATCAGTTGTTGAAACGATGTGAATGGGTTGTTGGGTCCCTTTACACCAAACATAAAAGAAGGTACCCTGCAAAACGCAAAAAACAGTGGATCTCGGCCGACAACTCTGGCCGCTCTCAAGCTCTCCTTGCATGTCCAAGTCTCTACGTCGCTCTCGCTAAAGCTGCGAGGCACTGTGGCGGATGCAGGTTGGAAGTCTAGGAACGTGTTGCGTACCGATATTTCCATCGACGGAAATATCCTGCGACGGTGATCGAGCCCACTCACGCTGCGACGTTGAACTGCACAACAACTCGAGAGGGCCCTCAGAAAGCGGCGCGCGGGCGGAGTCATGCTAGAACAAGGAGCTCTTTGGGCGGACGGGGCATGCATCTGAGTCATGATCAAAACCTTAAAATGGTCGACCCAAGACCATGTAAAGAATCAGATTGTCCCTTATTAACCTTTATCTACAGTACCCGGGTTTTGAGCAAGTGGCTCGTCTGTTCTTTCTTCCCTGAACACTAACGGCACGCTGCCACGAGCTCAAAGACGGTATGCTCAACCATGGGGAACCAGGCAACATAAACTTGGTCATGCGTAGGGGGGCCCATTTTGGAGAAAACTCGGGTCACTTTTGGGAGTCCCCTCCCTCCTCTATCAGTCAACCAGGGGTCGACATTGCCAGTTGGATTTTAAGGTGCGGTTCCGCAAAACCTTTGCGGTGTGCGTCAGAAAGAAGAAACGGATCGAGTGCCTTCTGTGCTTCCCAGAGGGACTGGTTCAACTCCCCTAAACCAATCCAAACGGTCCGGGGATTCTCCAAAACCTGGTTTTGTCTGAACCTTGTCAACCTCGAGGGGTGTGTAGGGGGGGGGTGGAGAGGCGTGGAAGGGGGGGATGGGAGGGGGGATGGGAGGGGAGGGAATCCTTCCCAAACAAGATGCAACGTTTGCTGCTTTCCTGTGGTTTCCCTTTACAGCCTGAAGGATTTTTACCCACAAAAAAAGAACCCCCCTTCTGATGGACCAATTGATAAAATATTGACTCCTAGAGATTTGAGTACACATCTTAAAAAAAAAAAAAAAAAAAAAAAAAAAAAAAAAAAAAAAAAAAAAAAAAAAAAAAAAAACAGAAGGCGAAGAAACCAATTCGCGGATCACCATTTTACCGGAGCTCTGCTTGGTTCTGAGAGCCCCTGCCTGCAGCCGGCCTGGCCAAACACTCGAAGCTGGCCAGACCCAAGGGCGACCCAATGTATGTTCAACAAGGCAATGATGGAAGACACATATGGCTGTGGCTCAAAAATAAAGTGGCACCAAAATGCCGCCTTAGTAAATGGAACCAAAGACCAAAATCCGGGTAACCCCAGCTCTTTAATTTTGAGCCATACCCATATGGCAGACTTTTTTGGAGAGTGCACTTGCTTGTGATAATGAAGGGAAACCGAAAGGAAAACCGAAACACATTTTGGCGGCTCACCTCAAGACAGATCCACTCCGCTTGGGATGCGGAAAGAGCTGTGTGAGCTCCGTAGATCAAAAGGGGGTTGAGCCTATTTTTATGTTGACGGAATCCTTCACCTGCGAGGGAGAACACCTCGTAAACCGACTTTGATTCAGGACCCATGTGAACTGATGGGGCAAAAGTGGTTGGGAAATCGGCTTTCCTAGCGAAAATCGCTGTCTCTGCTATGCCTCAAGGCTATTCTCGGGATGAACCTCAGGTCAGGCCTGGGATTCCTAGGTTGGCACCACCTTGTTTCCGAGCAAACACAACATGCGCGCGTCTGTGGTCCAGAACTAGGAGCCCCTGGTTCGAACCCTGTCATGGGCATTTGAACAGCAAACCCCCCATGCGGAGCCTCCGTGGGAATTGTGGGTTTTCCACCCTAAAACACAGGGCTTCCTTGAAAACCCTGCAAACCAACATTTGTGGGTTCCTACGGTAGGTCGCCCGAAAAGGAAAGAGGAATCCACCGAAAATTAGTCAGTCCACACCAAAGGGTGTGGAATCACCCCTGTTGATGGGTGCAGGTCAGCAGGATTTGGGTCAAGTGCGATCAGTGGCAAAAGGTGTCAGTGCGCCTTGGCTCACGCTCCTCCCGGTCTTGATGATGTGCTAGATTGATCTGCTAGATTGTGAACATGCGGGTGTGGGTCAGAATAGCGGGACTCGTTTTTGTTTCTGATGGTTGTTCATTGGTTCCTTTCAACCAACCTTAACCGGGTGCCCAAAAAAGTCACACAAATCCAATAAAGGCTGTGTTTGACACTTGGGACCAAAGGCGGGGCCGCTTGCGCTATGCTTGCTTGCATTTTAGGTTGCTTGCTAGGTTGCTTGCTAGGTTGCTTGCTAGGTTGCATGGCTAGGTTGCTTGCTAGGTTGCTAGCTAGGTTGCTGGCTGGCTGGCTTGGCTGGCTGGCTGGCTGGCTGGCTGGCTGGCTGGCTGGCTGGCTGGCTGGCTGGCTGGCTGGCTGGCTGGCTGGCTGGCTTGCTTGCTGGCTTGCTGGCTTGGTTGCTAGCTAGCGGCCTTACTTGTTTGTTTCTCTTAGCCCAAGCCCCCCGATTTAGCCCAACCTCGCAGACGAGGAAGAGCCTCGGACACCGCTGACCCCATCAGAGGGCACCCCGTTTCCAGCCTGAGGCCCTGGGTGGTGTCAACCGATGTTTGTCAGTAGGGCAGCCGCAGCCTATAGTACTGCGGAAAAGAATCAACTGCGGCACTATCTCTTTCCTCTTATACGGAGGGTGGACGGTAGACGGCAGCATTCCACCATGTACCTGAACACGAAAAGATGTTGAGCCTCACCCAACTCCGCAGTGTCCGACAAATCATGACAGATCCATCATTTGACGAAGCATTTGACCAACAGCCCGGGCAATTGCCTGCAACCTGCAACACCGCAACACTGCGTTCCCGTGTGGTACTACTAGCGACAGCGCCACGCTATGAGGATTGAGGATGGGCTTTTTAAAACCCGCCAAAGCGGCATGCTTTTGTCTTGAGCTGGTGCCCTTTGGCTTGAAGGGAAACCAATTGCGCGCCGGTTGAGAACCGGGTCGGATACAACGAGGACGTGTGTGGACCCAAGGGAACCACGAACCTGAAGTTCCCCGAATTCTCCACGCGTACCGAGGTGCAAAAGCGGTTTGTGAGCTGAAGCCTCACCTCAGAACCTAACCAGGTCTTCCACATGTGGGTTTGGGTTTTTGAGGGTGTATGGGGTGGAATGTTGAAGGGAAACCCAAAGGAAAACCCCAAAACTTGCGACACGTGCCCTTTGACACGTCCTTCTCACGGCCTGGGTTCCCGGCTTGCCGCCTCCATGTCGACGGGGCGCGGGCGCGCGGGGTTTGGGGCTCCGGGCCCAAATCCCAGGCTCGGAAAGGGGTGCACACGGAGCTGGGGATGCCCGGGGAAAAATGACCCAAAAAAAAACATGAAACATGAAGTTGAGGTGAGGAAGCTCATCCACAGCTTTAAAAAAAAAAAGCCAAAACAAAAACCTATCCTTAAACACGGCAGGGTCAAACCGAGCAATGCTACTCTGGGCTTCAGGTGGCCATGGCTGGCGAAAGCCCAGTGCCGCCAGCAAAAGCTGGAACTCGTCCAGCTGTGATGGTTGGTGGTTTTCTCAGAGGAAGCTAGCCTCCTCCAGAAATGGCTGGGGCCCAAGGTTACCAAAAAGCTGATTCGGGGCGGGTCGACTTGAACTGGGAGAGAGGCCAGTCAAAGGAGCGGCCAACGACGTCGTCCGATTGCGCTCCGTCCATTTTGCCGGGGACAAAGGCCGGGCTCAAATAACTGCACATGCGCTTCCCAATCAGAAGCCGTCGGCGGCTGGTGAGCATTTTGGACCAACAGCCCGCGCGGTGCGGTTGAGGCCCCTGGCGCGAAACGGAAGGCCTGCCCTGCCTTGAAACGACGTTCCCATGGCTCAGAGCTTGGACTCGGGAAGCATCTCCACCTGACGGGGACATGCCAAATGTCCCGAACCCAATCCAACCCGATAGGGTTTTTTAGATCCTGAACAGTGCCTCCAAATGGCTGTGGGTCACAAATGTGTGCCCAAAATGGAACCCCGGTAAATGAAAATAAGGACAAAACCTGCGGCCTTCTGGTGGTTTAATTTTGACCCATAGTCAAATGGCGCTTTTCCATTCAATGGCTTTCCACTGTATCCTTGAGGGAGTTCTGGAGAGATGGGTCTGTCTGTCTTTGAAGGTACCCCCTTTTTTGGTGGTTTCAAGGATAACCACAAGGAAAACCGAAGCCATCTTGGGCGTACCCTAAAAACACGACACTGCAATATAGGGGCTATTTATCTCGAACAGTGTTCTCTCGCTACTTTTAGTGGCTGCGTTCTGCGGCCGAATGACTGCAATGCCCAACTGCAAAGCGTCAAGGCTAGTGACGTGCGGCCTTGAGCTTGCTTTTCAAGCTTGAGAAATCCAAATGGATCGATATGAGTTGGAGGGGTGAATTTTGCCCGTGAAATCCGTCTCCGTCTCGCCTTTTCTGACACACACAGTCCCCGCAATCACCACAGCAACTGCACTGTGAGCCCCAGTCCCACCAATGAGAAACAACGGAAAAAAGAGAAGCCTAATAATATTATATATGCATATATATATATACATAATATATACAGGGATGCTATCCGCCTTGCCCCGAAAGAATGGCGGCTTTCCTTTGGTCTGGTCAAAATGGCAATGTCTTCAATGGACAACTTGTACCCTTCCGCCCCAAAGAACTCTGCAACATGGACTCAAGAGAAGCGCGCGTCTCGCTGGCATGCGTTGCAATGTCCCGCTTAGAAAGCAATCACGTCAGCCTGCACAAAGGAAGCCAGCAAACAGCCAGCTTGACTGCAAGGAGGAATGCAAAAGCACATGGGCTGAAACAAGATGCCAAGAGTTGCTTTCAAATATAATCAACATGAGCGGTCGTCAAAATCCAGAAGCAACCTAGGATGCCGGGCGATGGTGGCATTGGCTGTGCCGCCCCCCTCGCAGATGGCCAGCAACCCGAATCGCCCCTGGCTGATTCGCGCAGTTTGGGCTCTAGCTTAACTAGGAAATACGTGGAAAAGCAGAAAGGCAAGATGCAATCATTTTCTCCAAACACCCATGGGAAGGTCGCAATGGGCGTGTATGGATGTTACAAGGCATGAGGGCCTGAGAAATGCCAGCAGAAAAGCGACCTGTGCTCTCAAAGTTAGATTGGGCCGTGACACGGAATGCCTAACAAACTCTACCCACCGACTGACCTGACGCACCAACTTCGGGCAGTATGAAGACCAATATAATTTTGAGGGATAGCCCAGGCAACTTGCATTCCGCGCTTGCTGTATGTACAATTTTCTAGTTGTTTGTCTTGTTCTGAGGCACACACATGAATATCTACCAAGTTGGTTTGGTTTGTTGGTTTGTTGTTTGGGTGCGTGATGTTGGGCGCGCCTGGGGCAAATGAAGAGGCACCCAGCATCATGAACATCATTTGGATCTGCTTGGAGTCGATATGGTCATCGTCGAGGTTCTGGTTGCAGCTGCTGATACAGCTGTGGCTGTTGCCGTTGTTGCTGTTGATGTTGCTGTTGCTGGTGCTTTCATTGTTGTTGTTGTTGCTGCTGCTGCTGCTGCTGCTGCTGCTGCTGTTGCTGCTGCTGTTGCTGCTGTGGCTGTTGCTGATGCTGTTGCTGTTGCTGGTGCTGTTGCTGTTGCTGGTGCTGTTGCGGTTGCAGGTGCAGTTGTTATTGGTGTTATGGTTGTGGTTGTTGCTGTCGCTATCGCTGTCGCTGTCGTTGTCGTTGTGCCGTTACCGTTGTCGTTGTCGTTGTGGTTGCGATTGTAGTTGTGGTTTTGGTTGTGGTTGTTGTGCTGCTGCTGGTGCTGCTACTGGTGCTGGTGCTGCCGCTGCTTCTGCCGCTGCTGCTGCTGCTGTGGTTGTTGTTGTTGGCTCCAATCCCACGTAAACGCGCGTTGTAGCTGCTTCACAGCAAGTGCCTTTTCGTTGGCAGGCGCAGCGTGTCGTGCATGTTGGAGCTAAAAAACCCATTTCGACCGCACAGGCGCGCGCGGCCGGAAAACCGTGGATTGTGTGGTCCTGCGTGTCTGTTTCGTGTGACCAGTGCAGCATTTCGTGCTGCTTGGAAATCAAATATGCGCATTTCGTGTGGCAGGCGCAGCATGTCGTCTCAGCCAACTGGAAGCACCCGCTCAAGAGCACTCGTTCAGAACTGTATCCAAGTCTGGCACTTGGTGAGCACACCCGCTCAAGAGTACCCGCTCAGCTGCATCTATGTGGGGCAAATTGGAAAGCACACCCGCTCAAGAGCACCCGCTCAGCACTGAATTTATGTGTGGCAATTCGTAAGCACCCCCGCTCAAGATGGTAAGCACACCCGCTCAAGAGCACCCGCTCAGCTCTCTATTTATGTGTGGCAATTGGTAAGCGCACCCGCTCAAGAGAACCCGCTCAGCACTGTATGTATGTGCGGCAATTCGTAAGCACACCCGCTCAAGAGCACTCGCCCAGCACTGTACTTATGTGTGGCAATTGGTAAGAGCACCTGCTCAAGAGAACCCGCTCAGCACTGTATGTGTGTGGCAATTCGTAAGCACGCCCGCTCAAGAGCACTCGCCCAGCACTGTACTTATGTGTGGCAGTTGGTAAGCGCACCTGCTCAAGAGAACCCGCTCAGCGCTGTATCAATGAATGTGTGGCAATTGGTAACACTGCTCAAGAGCACCCGCTCAGGACTGTAAGCTGGGTTTTTGAATGCTTTGAAGGATCGCGATTGGCTTTTTGACTCAGCGAAGCATAGAGGTTGAAGAAAAACACGTCGTGCCGCATAGGCTCATGCAGCTTAGATGATCGAAGCATAGAGGTTGAAGAAAAACACGGCGTGCCGCGTAGGCTCATGCAGCTTAGACGATCAGGATTTGTTCTGTCTGGAGCTGGTTGCACGTGGCAATTTTGCATGTAAGATCAAACTCTCGCCGAGCGTTTCGCCTAGGCGAAAAGTGTTTTTCTGACGGATCTATAGGCCGATCCATCGTGGAGCTGCGAGGCTCTCGTGGTAGGGGCGATGCTTGTTCGCATGGTAAAAAACACTGTTTTCTGACGCTCCGCAAAACGCTGTTGTTGGCTGCGCGCGTTTACGCGGCGCTGGCGCGTTGCTGTTCTTGTTGTTGTTGCTGCTGCTGCTGCTGCTGCTGCTGCTTCTGCTGCTGCTGCTGCTTCTGCTGCTGCTGCTGCTGCTGCTGTTGTTGTTGTTGCTGTTGTGGTGGTGGTGGTTGTGGTTGTGGATATTGTTGTTGTGGTTGTGCTTGTGGTTGTCGTTGTCGCGGTTGTGGTGGTTGTGGTGGTTTTGAACTCTGTGAACTGTGGTTGTTGTGGTTGTTGCGCTTGTTGCGGCGGTTGTGGTTGTTGTGGTTGTTGCGGTTGTTGTGGGTGTTGCGGTTGTTGCGGTTGTTGTGCTTGTTGGGGTTGTTGTGGTTGTTGGGGTTGTTGCTGTCGTGGTTGTTGTGGTAACGTGGTTGTCGTAGTTGTCGTGGTTGTCGTGGTTGTCGTGGTTGTCGTGGTTGTCGTGGTTGTCGTGGTTGTCGTGGTTGTCGTGGTTGTCGTGGTTATTGTGGTTGTTGTGGTTGTTGTGGTTGTTGTGGTTGTTGTGGTTGTTGTGGTTGTTGTCGTTATTGTGGTTGTTGTTGCTGTTATGGTTGTTGTGGTTGTTGTGGTTGTTGTGGTTGTTGTGGTTGTTGTGGGTGTGGCTGTGGGTGCGGGTGTGATTGTGGTTGTTGTTGTCGTCGTCGTCGTGTTTCTTGTTGCTGTTGCTGTTGCTGTTGCTGTTGCTGTTGCTGCTGTTGCTGTTGCTGTTGCTGTTGCTGTTGTTGTTGCTGCTGCTGCTGCGGTTTGCGCTGGTGTTGCTGTCGCCGTTGTTGTTGTTGTTGTTGTTGTCGTTGTTGCGGTTGTTGTTGTTGGTGTTGTTGCTGTTGCGGTTGTTGTTGTTGGTGTTGTTGCTGTTGCTGTTGTTGCTGTTGCTGGTGTTGCTGTTGCTGCTGTTGCTGTTGTTGCTGTTGCTGTTGTTGCTGCTGTTGCTGCCGCTGCTGCTGCTACTGTAATTGTTGTGGCTGTTGTTGGGGTTGTTGTTGGTGTTGTTGCTGCTGCTGTTGTTCTTGTTGTTGTGTTGTTGTTGTTGCTGCTGCTGCTTCTATTGTTGTTGTTGTGGAATCTGTTGTCGTTGTTGTTCTTGTTGTGGGTGTTTGTTGTTGTTGTTGTTGTTGTTGTTGCGGGTCTTTTGTTGCGGTTGTTGTTGTTGCTGCTGTGGCCTCTGTTTTTGTTGTTCTTGCTGAAAATTGTGTTGTCGTTGCTGTCGTTGTTGTTGTTGTGGGCTCTGGTGCGGTTGTTGTTGTTGTTGCGGTTGTGGTTGTGATTGTGGCGGTTGTTGAGGTTGTTGCTGTTGCGGTTGCGGTGGTTGTTGCGGTTGTTGTGGTTGCGGTTGTGGCTGTGGCTGTGGCTGTGGTTGTGGCGTGGTTGTGGTTGTGGTTGTGGCTGTGGTTGTGGTTGTGGTTGTGGTTTTGGTTGTCGTTGTGGCTGTGGTTGTGGTTGTGGTGCGGCTGTGGCTGTGGCTGTGGCTCTGGCTGTGCTTGTGGTTGTGGTTGTGGATGTGGTGGTTGTGGTGGTTGTGGTGGTTGTGGTGGTTGTGGTGGTTGTGGTTGTCGTGGTTGTTGTGGTTGTTGTGGTTGTTGCGGTTGTTGCGGTTGTTGTGGTTGTTGCGGTTGTTGCGGTTGTGGTTGTTGTGGTTGTTGTGGTTGTTGCGGTTGTTGTGGTTGTTGTGGTTGTTGCGGTGCTGTGGTTGCCGTTGTTGCTGTTGTTGCTGTTGCTGTTGGTGTTGGTGTCGGTGTTGGTGTTGTTGGTGGAGTTGGTGTTATTGCTGGTGTTGTTGCTGCTGTTGCTGTTGCTGTTGCTGTTGCAGTCGCTGCTGCCGTTGCTGTTGCTGTTGCTGTTGCTGTTGCTGTTGCTGTTTCTTTTGCTGTTGCTGCTGCTGCTGTTGCTGTTGCTGTTGCTGTTGCTGTTGCTGCTGATGTTGCTGTCGCTGTTGCTGTTGCTGTTGCTGTTGCTGCTGCTGCTGTTGCTGTTGCTGTTGCTGTTGCTGCTGCTGTTGCTGTTGCTGCTCCTGCTGCTGTTGCTGTCGCTGTCGCTGTCGCTGTCGCTGTCGCTGTCGCTGTCGCTGTCGCTGTCGCTGTCGCTGTCGCTGTCGCTGTCGCTGTCGCTGTCGCTGTCGCGGTCGCGGTCGCGGTCGCGGCCGCTGTCGCTGTCGCTGTCGCTGTCGCTGTTGCTGTTGCTGTTGCTGTTGCTGTTGCTGTTGCTGTCGCTGTTGCTGTTGCTTTTGCTGCTGTTGCTGTTGCTTTTGCTGCTGTTGCTGTTGCTGTTGCTGTTGCTGTTGCTGTTGCTGTCGCTGTCGCTGTCGCTGTTGCTGTTGCTTTTGCTGTTGCTGTTGCTGTTGCTGTTGCTGTTGCTGTTGGTGTTGGTGTTGGTGTTGGTGTTGTTGGTGGTGGTGTTGGTGTTGGTGTTGGGGTTGGGGTTGGCGGTGGTGGTGGTGGCGGTGGTGGCGGTGGCGGTGCTGGTGCTGGTGCTGGTGCTGGTGCTGGTGCTGGCGCTGGTGCTGCTGGTGCTGGTGCTGGTGCTGGCGCTGGTGCTGGTGCTGGTGCTGGCGCTGGCGTTGGTGTTGGTGTTGCTGTTGGT